GTGACAGAGCTTCAAAATCCTTGCCTCCAAGGAAAAAAAAATGGTTCCACCCTCTCCAAGACAGACTTATTTGTTCTCCTGGCTGTCCACAGTATGTTCAATACTCTTCTCCAGCACTACAACTCAAAGGCCTCAATGATTCTTCTGTCATCCATAGTCATTGTCCAGCTCTCTGATGTGATGCATAGCATGTATTTGTGAAGACCATGGCCTTAGTCTTTAGACTGATATCAATGCTCTTCAGCACTCTGGAGAGGTCCTGACAGCAGCAGACTTCCCAATGCAATTCACCTTCTAATTTCCTGACTGCTGGTGCCAAACATGTTGACAGTGGAGCTGAGCAAGTTGAAATTGTTAACAAACTCAATCTCTTCTCCATCCATCATAGTGCTGCCAATTGGCCCAGTGGTGAAAATGTTTGTCTTCTTGATGTTGAGTTTCAATCCATATTGAAGACTACAGTCCTTGACCTTCTGCAGCAAGCACTTCAGGTCCTCCTCAGTTTCAGCAAGCCAAGTTGTATCATCTGCATAATGCAGGTTGATGATGAGTCTTCCTCCAATCCTGATGCCACACTCCTCCTCACAAAGCCCAACCTCTCGAGTGATCTGTTCTGCGTACAGACTGAAAGGGTATGAAGACAGGACACATCCTGACACACTCCTTTCCCAATTTTGAACCATGTAGTGTTTCCCTGCTCTCTTATGATGACTGCCTCCTATAGGTTTCGCATAAGCACAGTCAAGTGTTCTGGGATTCCCATTCTCCTCAAGGCTAGCCACAGTTTGTTGTGATCCACATAGTCAAATGCCTTTGCATAGTCAACGAAGCACAGACAGACATTCCTCTGGTACCTTGCTTTCAGCCAAGATTTATCTGACATTGGCAATGTCTCTAATGCCATGACCTCTTCTAAACCCAGCTTGTACTTCTGGTAACTCTGTTAATGTATTGTTCCTGTCATTTTTTTTTTTTTACACAATCTTCAGCCAGATTTTGCTTAAGTGTGATATTAGTGTTAATGTTTGATAGTTTCCACTCTATGGGATCACCTTTTTTTTGGGAAAGGAATAAATACGGATCTCTTCCAGTTGGCCAGGTAGTTGTCCTCCAGATTTCTTGGCATAATGTGGTGAGCATGTCCAGGACAGCATCTGTTTGTTGTAATACGTCAATGGTACGCCATTAATTCCTGTAGGCCTTGTTCTTTGCCAATTCCTTCCGAGCAGCTTGAACTTCCTTCCTTTTCACTATTGCCTCTTGATCATATGCTGTTTCACAGAAATTCTTCTGTGTCAGTCAATTCTTTTTGGTACAGTGACTCTCTGTAGTCCAAGATATATTCAATAGTCTTTGCCAACACAATTCAAAGGCATCGATTCTTCTTCCATCTTCCTTATTCACTGGCCAACTTTCAGATACATACAAAACAACTGAAAGAGCATGGCTTGGACCAGGCATGTGTATTGTTTGGCTTGAAGCTGAACCTTGGGGGCGGGGAGGATGACGGCTCAGCTCCAGGCTCTGTAGGGTTTTTTCAGGCACTGATGCACCTCACAGTGCACTTGAACTTCCAGCCTGTGGTTTACCACCAAGCATGTCCAGTGTTCTCATCTCATTCTATTGACAGCTGCAGCTGCTGCTCAAACGTCAACTCTCTAAGAGATCTTTGCGAGTCACGACTTGTACTAAACCCACATTGAATTGTCAGATTTCTTCTGTGTGCTCCTCTGACAGCAATATCCAGGAATATCCTATTTCTAACTCGCGTGGGACAGAACAGCAATTATCTGTGACACACGTCTCATCTAACGCACAGACGAGGCACAGGCTCTAGGATCAAAGGCTGACAGCTACTTCTATTTTTCTTCTTCCTCCCTTCCCTCCGGCTGTTCACAAACACTCCTCTGGCTCGATGTCCACATGGAGGGCAGTGTTGGCTTTCCCAGGATGGACGCGTCAGAGGGAAGAAGTGGAATGCCTCTCCGAGGGCTGCCAAGAGGATGTGGCAGAATCTGGGCAATTCTAGAGGACACGTTTATTCTCCTGTGATTCTGAGGACAGCGGTCACCCCATCCTGACTTGACATCCCAAGACAAGATCCACAGAGTGGGGAGGAGGGGTCAGAAGCTGTGGTACACCCCCAAGCCCCATGATACCATCTTGACTCTGAGGGGTTTATGCTGACAGACGGTAAGCAGGAACACAATTCCACTGCTTCCAGGTTAACACTGACACAGGCCCGACGGCTCTCTGCGTGGGCCCCTGGAAGCCAGCAACATCCCATCAGGACACTCACATGGGCCCAGACGTGGCCCAGTGTCCCCTGCAGACAGCACGATGCAGGTGGGACCCCGGGCTTTAGTCAGCCTTCCCTCTTCACGTAGAGATGACATGGTGGGCACTGAGGTGACCTCAGCATGGGCTGGCTCCAGGTGGAGTGAGCTAGGCGAGGTCTGAGTTTCTCCTAAGACACCCATCCAAGGCCACTAGTGTGTTATCACCTGAAGACTAGGGTGTACCTGACTTAGCTGTGGTGTGTTCAAGTTCTTCACACACATGGGAGAGCTGGACCACGAATAAGGAGACAGGAAAGGTAAGGCTTTTGAATTGTAAACTAAATCTACAGGACAGCAGGGCACCCGTCACCTGTCCTGTGGGAAGCACTCCTAAGGGTGCTTTCTAGGAGGGGGGATGCCAAGACCACGTCACACACGTGGAGCCTGTCATCAGGGGGGCAGCCTGCCTCAGTCCCACTGTCCCAGGAAGGGCTGGGAGTCACCAGGTCAGGCACTGAGGAAGCTGGCTTCCTGGAGCCACAGGTAGGGTTTCTGAGGTCCTAGGTCGGTGTCACGGTGCCGCTGACAGGGTCACTTGGAGACAGCTATCAATGTCACAATGTCTATTTATTCCCACACATCACTCTCCGCCCCTTCTGGCCTGACGTGTGGCCGGGGCCAACGGCGGCCTGCCTGCCTACTCTTTACCTAGCACAAATACCCCGCGACCAGCCTGCATCTGGGGAGCCCAGGAAACCCACTCAGCTTCTCATTCTTCACTGTTCCATTAAGAGCCAAGCAGAATGTTCTGGAAAGCGAAACCCTGCAGCCCCAGCCACGCCCCACCATGCCCAGAGGTCACAGCTGTCCACTCTCTGCGGAAATGGCTCAGGGCGGCTGCTCACTTGCTGGCCCCGAAGAGAAAGGGAACCCACAGAGGCGTGTGCCCAGTCCCCACAGCAGGTGGCAGAAATGGCAAGGTGGGACTCAGTGCCCAGGGCAGCAGTGGGCATCTGCCGTCAGGACTGGCGAAGGAGCCCGACGAGAGTCCGTCAACAGCTCAGGCCGGGAAGTCGCGGCTCATGGTCCTGATGTTCCGAGAGGTGCGGGGACACACACCACCAGGAGGCACTGACAGGGGGCACAGACACAGTGGGCCGGGGCACCAGGTGGCAATGGGCTCTCAGGGGACCAGCGGAGGCGGCCCCAAACTGAGTTGGGCAAGATTTTAAAAACAGTGGAAGGCAGGAGGGGGTGATAAAAGAGTTCTCATGGGCGCGCTGCGGGTGTTCTGAGCAGAAAACCTGGCCCCTGGGAGGAAAGGCCCCCGGGAGTCTAGAAAAGACCTGGTGACTGGGCGGGGCCGGACTGCTGGTCTGCGCTCACAGCTGGGCGGGTTCGGCGTGTCCCAGGGAGGCGGGAAGAGGACATGGGGGTGGGGGGGCGGGGAAATGGAGAAACGGTCAGCACATGCAAGTCCAATTGTGCTCCCCTCTCGGGCATCTGCCTGGAGAAGTGGACATCGGGTCTGCAGGGACAGACGCGTTCTTGCTTGGTGGCCGCAGACAGAGACAGATGCGGTTAGGACCAAGGCGGCAGTCACGTCAGTGGAAGAGGGAGCATGGAGAACCTTCCAGAAGGAAGAGGGAGAAGGTGTAAACAGTGCGCTCAGCCTCAAATGTGACTCAGGCAACAGCCTTGACTTCTGCAGACTCAGCCCAACGACCCTCTGGAGGTCCAGGAGCAAGTGGAGAACACGAACTATGTGGTCAGCAGCCTCTGAGCCAAGACCACTCCACTGCCCGGGACTGGGGGAGCTGGGCAGCGGCTGGTAACTTCTGTGCATGTCCGCCACTGCCCTGTCCAGAGACTAGGGGAGCTGGGCACCGGCCGGCAACCTCTGCGCATGTCCCAGCTCCACCTGGAGACCAGACAGCTGGGCAGCGGCGGTGGGCGCTAACTCCTTCATGACATTCTCAGAGTCCTGAATTCCTGGGGCCACAGAGGCCAGAAGAACCCTGCACCCAGCACCCTAGGTTCACCTTTACACCTTAAACCAAAGACGCCCCGAGGTCTCTGTACACCGAAGCCTGGCGTCACCAGCAGGAGCGGCGGTCCTCAGGGAGCACCGCACTCCTGGAAGAACTGCCCCCCACAGTGGTTCAGACGAGGAGGATCTAGCAAGAAGGTCAGGCGGGTGGCCGAGGGAGCAGGGAGGGATGGTGACAGGGCCTTCAGATGCCACCTGTGTCACTGAATGGTGAAGAAATTGCCAGATCGGCGCATGTTGTGAAGAGGGTCACAGGAGAACCTGCGGAGGGCGGGTCTGACATCCAGGGGACCAGGGGCTGGTGCCCCGACCTTTCTCAGACCGCCTGGTCTCTGACCAGGGCAGCTCTGGCCTCCTGTCCACTCTAAGCCAGTGCCTGGGCCCATGTGCCAAGTTCTCCTGGGCACACACATCCACGCCTAGACCAGAGGCGCATGTCCTGTGCCTGGTGGCACTTGCGGTGAGGCATGGCGAGCGCCGTGTGGCCGTCCCTCTGCACAAGCCCTGGTACCACCCCCCAACCCACTGGGGTCAGTCGCGGGAAGGCTGGTCCCAGGAGGGACAGTGAGGGCAGAGAGGCGGCCTGGGCCCCCACGCTCTGCCTTGCTCCCGTGGGACATGTGAGGTGCCCTCCTGACACGCCCTGCCCGCTCCCAGTCACGCACTGACGGTCACTCCTGCTGGTCATCGTTGCTGGCACTGGGGGTCCGACTCCGCATCTGACTCCTCAGCTGCTCTATCAACTCCGGGTTCTGTTGCTGCATGTGGTGGGCGAACTGCTGGCCCCTGTGGGGACACAGTGGGGGTCACCAAGAGGGACAAGCAGGGGCTTCCCTTTCCTCCACCTCCCCTCAGCGCACACCTCCGGCCGTGTGCCTGGTTCCCTGATCATGCTCCCACTTCCCTGACCCCTGTACGTGGCTGTGGGCAGCTCTGACCCTGATTAATATCCATTCTATAAACAGTAGCCGAGGTTCTGAGCCCAGAGCCCACCTGGACACACCTCACTGCCTGAACACTTGCTGGGAAAGCAGGTTTTCACACCCAGGCGAGCCCTGCTGTGGACACTGCAAAGCTGCACTGGGCTCACCCCCAGTACGACACCCCAAAGCACAAGGACTCAAAGGTGGGGCATGGAGACCTGGCTGCTCTGCAGTGAGGTGCTAAGCCGTGACCCCAAAGACTCAAGCACTCACAGGTGACAGACACGGCAGGGCCCGCCCAGACCCCACCCTCCTTCCCCATAGGTCTACTCACGCCTGGATGAGGCTGGCCAGGTCGTTCTGGGAGGGGCTGGTTCCGGGGGTCCCCAAGGGGTTATGACCACCAGAGATCATCCCAGACATGCTGCAGGAAAGAAACCGGGCACAGCAGTGGGCATCTCACTCAGCAGCGGCTGCCCAGGGTCACGGGGACGTTTTTGGTTGTGACAGGGGAGAAAGGATGCTACGAGCACTGAGTGGTGGAAAGCGAGTAAAGCCCGAGTGCACAGGATGGCGTGCATGAGGGCAGCTGAGGGAAGGACACCCCACGAAGACCGGCCTGAGGCAGGAGGGAGAGCAGGGGGTCACTTACATCTGCTGGACCTGGGGGTTGTTCATAAGGTTTGACGCCTGGAGGACAGAAGAGGTCTGTGAGGACAGGGCACCGCCAGCCTTGTCACTGCCGACGGAGACTCTGCCCGAGGCCGCCTCGGGGCCAGCTGTGCACACTACACCACAGGACCCCTGCCGAGTCCATCTGTGCCTGGCTCTTCCCTGCAGCCTGAGCCTACGCGTGTCCCTTCACTGCCCGCTGTCCCCTCGCGTCCCACACCTGTGTGTACCCTGTCCTCTCACTGTGCCCAAAGCCCACACATGCCTCTCCCCTTTTCCTTGTCCCGTCTGCACCCTGAGCCCATGTGGATCTGCACAGCCCCTGGAGGTCAGACAGGGCTTGCCGAAGTCCCTTCACAGAACAAGTCTCCCTCAGGGGACCACTGCGAGGCACCCAGTTCTGTGTGCTGGTGTCTGGATCTCAGGACGCAGACGTGGCTGCTTTCACAGCCTCCACACCAGCACCCAAGGTGCCCCCCAGTC